TAGTTATTTAAAGCGGGGTTGTCTGAGGTTCTCATCTATTCTTAGTGCGTTACGTACAGTAGTTGGCAGTGGGCAAAGCCTCAGTTTGGAGAAACAGAGAGCAGCACAACAGCTAAACAATGTACAACTGGACAGGGATGGCAGAACATTTGCTTTAGCTACTTCAAAGAGAGGCCCCATAAAACTAATGCTCTTTGGGGTTTCCCTTTCCTGTAGTGTGTTATTTAGGTTTGTGTGCATATAAATGGTCTGCAAAGGCTAAAGTTGACTCCACAGGAGTCTGAAGTTTCTCTCCAACACAGTTCCCCATGCCTGCTTTTATTTTAGTAACTATGTGATTCGATAGTCACATTTTGTTGTTAAAAAGGTTTGCATCTTCATAGTAACTTGTGATAACAACTGCAGTGACATCACAATTACAATATTTACCATCAAGTGAAGTAGCAATATAGAATGGCATATAATGGAAATACTTAAACAAAGTACCTCAGTTGTACTTAAATACATTACTTGATTGTGTTTAGTTACTTTCAATAACTGCTGTCTCACATCTCCTCTCTGAGATTATTTGCGATGTAGCATGCTCTGTCTGCGGGACTGAGCGGCCGCTTCCTCTGAGCGTCAGACAGCTCGCTGTTTTTCTCCCGGCTTTATCCCTCTATCACCAGCTAGCAGACTCAGAAAGAGAGAGTTAGTGTGAAAGAGTTTCTCCTACACACTCACACTCTCCGACTCTCCCTGTTTGGGCACGATGAGAAAGGCAGATTATTGAGGCTGATAAGGTCAGGAATGCTGCTCAGAGAGGAAACGCCGTTCTGGGGGAGATGTAGCCTATAGAAGACTTTTCCCTCCTCCTCCCAATGTGTCATCCAACCCCACCCCCCCCACCACCACCACCAAGCTTTTCCTCTCCTTCTGTCTCCGCTGCTGTGGCAGGATAAAGACAGGAAGAAGAGAAGGCGGCAGGGACTGAGATCCATTGACCCTGGACCGATGGGCATGCCCATAGCCTCCCTCTCTCTGGTCGCCTTCCTTTTACCTTTCCCTTCATTTCTGTTCTGACTTCCAACAGGAGTCATTTGGGGGGGGTCTTGGGACAAAAGGTTGGGAACCCCTGATGTCAGGGATAATGTGCAGCAAGATGAACAGGATCCCAAAGTTACATTTATGCGACTTCTTTCTGCCGATTGATATGACAACAAATAGTCCCTTGACCCTACTTAACAACGATCTATTCACCTGTTATTAAGAGAGATTAACATCCTTTGAAATGTCCTAATTGACCAATCGGAGTCGAATAGTCAACTAAGCCGTGTAATCATCTCAGTACTTTATTGTTTTATCATAAATAAGAAGAATACATAGAGAAACCATACTGGGCAATTTAGTTTCAGAAATTAAGGGTCATTAGGAACTATTTATATTTACAAAATAAACACTTTGTATGTTTGCATAGATGTGTGATATGTGTTCCCTCTCATAGAGCAGCAATAATAGCATTGTTTCTGGTGAGATGTATTTGTTTGATTTCAAAAGAGTCATGGACAAACAACAAAAATAGGAGCCAGATTTCTCAAGAAAAAAAAAGTACAAGAAGCTGTTAAACAATCATCATCTACCTAAACAGCGAGGCTGGGTGTCAAAGCCCAGACAGTCCTCTCAGTGCTTTGAAGAGATTGCGAAACAATTAAGATAAGACGGGATGACATTTTTCTCTCTGTATATACCTCCCCCTCTCCCCCTTTCTTTTTGTAGTATGATTGTAAAGAATGTTGTTTAAAGAAGGGAAATTATGTTCGCCTTTGATGTCTCCTGAAATATGAAACACCCAGAGGCTGATAGAAAACCACTACACACACACACACACACACACACACACACACACACACACACACATATTACACAAAGGGTTACTTCACCCAATCTATATTATACAAATGCGCAAACAGACTAAAGACTTTTTCACTTGTAATGACCTANACTGTCAGATTTGCATAAACGGGATTTGATAGGCTGACGCTTCCAGCTCAGCTTCAAAAGTTGAACATTGCTCAACTTTTGAATCCTGAAAATCCTGAAAATCCTTTCAGGATTTTCAGGATTCAAAAGTTGAGCAATGTTCAACTTTTGAAGCTGAGCTGGAAGCGTCAGCCTATCAAATCCCGTTTATGCAAATCTGACAGTACAAGCGCTAGCCAATCAAACCGCGTGCAAGCTGGGAGAGCCAGACCGCAGTTCATTTCCTCATTTTCCAAACGAGAAATTACGGTAGCAAATCACCCGGTTCTTTACAACCAGACTATTTACCGGGATACAAACCGGAGGAGCCAGGCATGGAGGGAGGTGGCAGAGACAGTGGGTGAAACTGGTAGGTTTTCGCCTGTTTGGGGGTTTTATATCTAGTTTACTTCGTTTTAACATTGCTATTGCTTTGTATGTCGGGGGCGGGAGATTCATGTGATTGGTTGTTGGTCGCGTTGCTCGCAAAAAATCCCCAAGCTTCAGATACGCCCACAGCCAAGCGTCAACGCACGCCGCTGTGCGGCCCCTACACAAGGCGGCGTGCGTTGCATCGTTGCGGTGCGGTGTGTCCGCTGCGGTGTGTCCGCTGAAACACCGCTGGTGTGAATGAGGTAAGAGAGACGTTTCCATAGGGCACTAAGATTAATTACATTTTCATGTTTAAATGAACAAACTTAATGTCATAATTTAGAAAAAAAGGCAGTTTATCAAACAAATCCTATACATTAATTCCGAAAAAAAGAAATCACTTAATCTTCTGCTTTCATTTAAGTCATGTTATATAAACCCTAAATGTTTTTTTTTTTCATTAAAAGCAACTCATTTTAATGTTCACTGCAAATATTAGGGCTATCAAAAGCATACTTTTAGATCTTTGCAAAGAAGATATAGAAAGAAATTAACTTGTCATTAGGGCGGCTGCACACTCTTTGAGATCAAGATGCTCTGCAATTCTGAAGAAACAACATCAAAACACACGGAAAGAGAGGATGAATCAAACTGTCAATGATGCAAATATAAGAGCCGCAGGCAAAAAAGGTTTTGAAAAATAATAATGACAGGGTCTGTATTTATGTACATCAATCTCTCTCATTAAACTGCTGACAAGTAAAATATAGATGACAAGAACAAGGCAAACTCGGAAATTACTCTTATGACACTGACTGCAGCAGACTTCCTACTAATATTTCTTGTTAGAAATATTAAATTATTGATGATTGGTTGCTGTAGTGTGTGGTTGAAATCAAGCCCTGCAGATTCCTTGCACTCCAGGGCCTTTTTATATCTGTTCTCTGGCTTTACGCAGATAACAAATACAGTTAACCCCAATGACCTCTTGGACAGGGATTTTTTCATTGCTATGCATGTTTTTGCCTTGTGTCACAGGATATGTCACGACAAATGTCAGAACATATTGTTTATGCTGTTCTAGCCCTGTCCCCACAATCAATAATAATGTAATGTAATATGTCCGGTAGATAGATGAACACTGTCATGGTTGATAGCCCTTAATACAGCGCTTAGGATTGAGATCCTTGCATGGCCACTTGAGAAGATCTCTTTCAAGTAACATTTTGAGTAAGAAGTTACTTTCATGGTCACTGGCCAGCAGCATTAGCATTCAGTAAGTGCTCACACTGACTCTAACTGCAGGCCCTCCGAACACCACTGCTATGTTACTCCAAAAGATTAATACAAACCTCCTTTATGCAGCATGTTAGTAAACGTGATTCCTTTCTCGTGCTACAGTTTAAACTAATATAGCTGCATTGGACTATATTTACTTCAAGTTAGGACATTTAGGGCTGACAGCCTTTTTATATCTGAAAAACATTTAAATGTGTATGAGGCGTAGTGGAACAACTATGAGGAGATAATACATTTGCAGCTACTGGTTAAAGATGGAACTTAGGAAAATAAATTAAATAAGCAAACACAACGTGAAATCCCTTCAGTCTCTCAGTGGTTAATGGCATTCATGAAGAGCATATAGGAAAACAAGTAAAGGTCAGTAAGGTCTGTGATAAAAGGAATAAAGGTAGATGCATGCATGAATGCATGAATTAGTCAAAATAGAACCCTTCATCGGCTTCTCTTGTCCCGTATCTACAGTGAAATGGGCCAACACTGCAGACATTTTTCTCTATCTTGCAGTGTCAAAGTGACAGTAATCGACCCGCGGGGAGAGCTTTGACAAACTGGTGTCAATAGTTTCTTTCTTGATGAGGTGGCAAGTAAAACTCATGAGGCTTCATTAGTAACTTCAAACACATACAGATTTAAAGTATATTCTTTCTAGACTTTGATCTGCATATTACCCGTCGCCAACTGGACACAGTTTTGGTTGCTCCTATTCCTAATTGGAGGCATCTAATGTTTAAAATGTATTGTCATCAGGGTTGATGTAAATTATTGCCTAAGTTTAATTATTTAAATATTTTAATCATTATTAATTTATAAAACATTAAAATTGACGTTTTTTTAAATAAATAACTATAGACGATGTGTATCCCTGTGATTTAAAATAGCATAAAGTATACTGTAGATATGCTATGAACCTAAATACCTTGTCTATTACATCTGTCACTTCTGTCTCTTCAAAAGAGCACCACAGCACCTCCAGGTGGAGTGTTTAAATATTAGCCTGCATAATCAAAGTAATTTCATTTTCTTTCATTTATGTTTAACATTTCGTGAAACTCTGTTTTGCACTTGAAATATGTCAATTTTACTCTTTGATCAAATCAATAAATTATATCGAAGAGTAAAAGGAGAAGTTTTATAAATATAAAGTTAATGCGATGACGACGTTTCTATGAAAACGTTCTTAACATATGATCGCAGGCTCGCAGCATTGACGCCAAATATTCTTGTGTATTATATTTATTTATGTGTATTTTTTTACATGTAGGAACCTTGCATCTAACAAAACGTTTCCACCCGCGGACTGTGTTGGTACAACACTCAACGCTGTTGCCCTGCGTCACTTCCTCCCCACGTGAAACGCTCAGTACATGTGAGGAAAATTATCCACATTCATTTACTGCAGGTTTGTTCGCGTTTAAAGGCCGCTAAATCATATATAGTCATCTAATGATTATCGATAGCAGCACTATGGAGTCTGAAGATGAGGAGTCTCTGCTCGGGCAGGAGTCCGAGGATGAGAACAGTGAATTATCAGACAGCGAGGTAAGAACTGTTGACATGCTAACATGGGCTAAAGCTAACAACCGTACAACTAACTTACTGTAGTGAAACTTAAATGATACAAAATGTTAATGACACACACTCGTGTCAACAGTTGAGACGATAACGGTCACAATACTAGTATAAATTATCTTTGAGCTTTGTTCATATTGTGTACACCTTAATGTAAACTTTGCACATTCCCTGGTCCAAAATGTGTACATTTCTGAGCAACTTTATCCAACTCTTTCATCAAAAACTCATTTATTTTGCACATTTGATTTCATATTTGTATTTGATTTATTTTCATGTTGCACGTGTAAACTTTTGCAGTACCTTTTCCCCCCCAAATTCATTGTATGTGAAAATAATCTTACTCCGGTTAAGCATATTGTGTATGTATGTTTGTACATTGGCAATAATGTAGAATAATACGTTTGATTGCACAACAGTTTATTTAAAAAAAACAAAAACGTATATATTCATAATAATGTGATGTCATGTGGGGGTTTTTCTCTGGAAGTTTGTCCTTGTACGATGTGAGGGTCTAAGGAAAGAGGGTGTCGTATTGTCATACTGATATTATGTACAAACTGTGAAGTCAACTAAGACCAATGTAACGTTTGTGATATTGGGCTATATAAATAAAGATTGATTGATAACATATATATTTTGTTTTCTTTAGCTTCAAGAAGCCTTCGCAAAGGGGTGGTTGAAACCAGGGATGAACGTTTTGGTGGATCAAACCAAAAAGCATGTCAACAATGTGGTGAGTAAAATCATTACAACAAACCTAAAATGTTTGCATTGTTTTTCCTGCTTTTGCGTATTTCTATGGAATGTTAGTTACTAACTAAAGAAACATATCATTTGACAGATTTTAGTGATGCTATAGTGAACATGTAAAAAAGGCTGGTTTGAATAATTAAATGCCTTAACAGTGTTACTTAACATAGCCTACTTGTACATTTGCCAATACTCTGTCCTGTGTGTATGTTGTTATGCAGGAGGGTTTGAAACAATGCCTCGCTGGCTTCCGTAAAGACCTCCCCTGGGCGGAGAGGTTGGATATGACCAACCTGCCGGCTGAAGACGTTATTTACAAAGCAGAAGGGAAAAAACCAGCTGTAAAGATTGGAGATGTCAATCCAGATGATGATTTCCAGAGAGAGATGTTTTTGTAAGTGACCCTGCAATATATGGTGAAAGTTTGAGACTCGTAAATGGTTTGATGTATTTTAGTGACTGTTTAGACATTTAGTTCATGTATTCACTCTAGTTCTGATGTTGACTGCCACAGATGTTACATTTTTAACCCGTTCATGAAAAATATTTGTTTGTTAATTTATAGCTACCGTCAAGCTCAGGCTACAGTACTAGATGCGTTGCCTCTCCTGAGCAAACATGGCATACCCACCAAGAGGCCTGACGATTATTTCGCAGAGATGGCCAAGTCTGATCAGCAAATGCAGAAGGTGAGCTAGTTCTTAGATTCTACACTTGAATTATAAAGGTGACATGTTGTGACAAATGTAGTTAAAGCAACAGAAACCACTTCAAAGCTCATGATTAATTTAATTTTTTTTTTATGTTCCTTTGTCCAGATCAGGAAAAAGCTTATCTCAAAGCAGTTGATACTGGAGAAGTCGGAGAAAGCAAAGAAACTGAGAGAGCAAAGGAAGTTTGGCAAAAAGGTTGGTCAATGTTTTTTAATTATATTATTTCACTTAGGAGTCTTTTTGAATACATTTTGAGTGCCTTTTTTTGTATACTAAAGGTTGGCTTTTACACTGGTTTGTAATTTTAACAAAAAGTATGCAAAACAGATGCTAGCCTGGCATAATGTCTTCATACGGGGCTAAAAGAGGCCACATTTCTTCTTTTGGTGTGGAGAATTAACATACATATTGATTGTGTGCCAGGTCCAAGTCGAAGTGATTCAGAAGAGGCATAAAGAGAAGAGAGATATGATGACTTCTGTGAAGAAATTCCAGAAAGGTACGTTTATTTACAAGTTTTGTTTTGTTCCTGCATAAGTTTCACTGTACAAACGAAAATGAATGTCATTTTGTGGGCACTGGATTTAAAAGGAACTGACGTTAAAGGTGGGGTAGGTAATTTTGGAGAAACCAGCTCGAGTGCGCTAGAATTTGAAAATACACAGCCGGAAGAAATCGGCTACTTCCTCACAGAGCCCCTCCTCCAACACACACGGACGCGCACATGACCAATGAGGGCACGAGATAAGTTNTAGACACAGCGACTACGAGTGCTGGAGGATCCATCATTCACTCCCGTCAACGGCGCATATCAGGAGTTGTCAACGCTAGGTTTGTAAACACACTTTGCATCGGTGGCGAGTTGAGCCCACAGACAAGGACACACGCATACAGAGTTTAGGCCGAGAGTGTATGTGATATGTAGCATTAATAATAATATTTGTAACAAAGGATGCATTTTTGCATATATAATAGTAAAATGGAGCTAAAATAAGGACCTAATAGGTTACTGTGTGGAACAGACATGTGTTCAAGTTTAAAAGCGAAGAAAATGTGTTTCCTAGTCAAAATGAAAAACACTTTCTTAGAAGACAGTAGTCCTTTCTAATAGTGATTAAAGGTGGGGTAGGTCATTTTGGAGAAACCAGCTCGAGTGCGCTAGAATTTGAAAATACACAGCCGGAAGAAATCGGCTACTTCCTCACAGAGCCCCTCCTCCAACACACACGGACGCGCACATGACCAATGAGGGCACGAGATAAGTTTGTGCACAGATGGAAGGCTGACAGGCAGGTAGGCCATCCAGTTATTTTAGCCGGGCCGGCTCAGATGATTGGTCGTGCTTTTTACAGTACTACGGCTTCCACAGATGACATTTTTAATGGATTTTTTGTCAAAGCACTTCAGATATTCATTGCTATCGGGATGTTCAGAGCATTCCATGGAATATAACAAAAAGTGTATCTCGAGCCGGTTTCTCAAACTTACCTACCCCACCTTTAAATATTGATGATTCTTAAAATTACCCTTTCATAATTTTCAAAAGTGAGAATGCTTTGAGTTTAAGATTTCTCTTCATCCAATTACTAGGAATGACCGACAAACTGGATTTCCTGGACGGAGACCAGAAGAAGCCTAAAGAGCCTTCTCAGGCCCAAAACAAAGTGGCAAAAGACAACAAGAAGGGGTAAGGTGTAACATTTGAGCTGCCATTAACATTATATTTTGTAACTCTTCTTCACAAAAAGCTAAATGTTTTACTGTTATTTTGACAGCCCCAATGCCAAGAGGAAGTACAAGGACCAGAGGTTTGGCTTTGGAGGCAAGAAGAAGGGAAAGAAGTGGAACACCAAGGAGAGCCACAACGATGTTTCTGGTTTCCGCGCCAAAGTCGCTAATGCAAAGGGGGCCAAGAAAGGTGCCAAAGGAGGAAAACAAAATGTGAGTCACACATCAAACACTGCTGACTGATATAATAAATGCTGAGATATTGTCAAAAGAAAGAATGAGACAAACTGTAGAGATGCTCACATGTTGTTCAATCTGATTTCAGAAACGCCCTGGCAAATCTGTGCGCAAGAAGACTAAGTCTCGCTCTTAAAAACTGACTGCGGCGGGTCAATTGGCTGGACTTGGACCTTGTTTCTAGGAAGGATTCCCCTCACCTGCTCACCAGTCTCTCCTCCACGTACATCATGAGACTTTAGGAGAACATGGACTTTAATTCTAAGCTTTTAGTACAACACACCTCCGTAACATGTCTGGATTGATGTGGACGACCCTTCATGCCACACAGAGAGATCCTGCCATATTGCTAAGGCAGCTAATTGAAGGACATGACTGTCAAAATGGTCAACCCAAGAGTGGAGTACATAAGAGTTAAAAAACAAGAGAACGTGTATTTCTTCTTTAGGGTTGTTAAAGGCCAATTGGCTTTTTGGCATGATTTAAGCCTCTTTCTGTGATTACACCTCAGTGTGTACACCAGCCTTGACGCTGTCTGACTTACAAGTGTGTGTGCTCTCTTCGGAGTTTGTTGTGTTCTGTTTTATTTTTTTCTAACTCAGCTTCTTGACTCATTGATTCTCTCATGTGACATGACATTTTATATATTGAGCGCCTGTTCGTTTTGCCCTTTCCTGTTCATTATAATGATTAGTATGTGATGGGCAAGGGTGCTTCAAATAGACCTGTGCAAATGTTGTCCCTGCAAATGATTTTCCTTTGCTTGCTAAGATGGAAATACACGATGTAGCCTCTGGTACCTGTATGTTTATAAACAAATAAATCGGAACATAGGTTGCTTATTGTAAGAGATTTTTATTCTTTCTCTCTTTGTCTAATTTGATGCACGCAGGGCCTTTTCCTGGTGTATGGTGACGTCTGTGCTGATTCTGGAAAAATTGAATCTCCTGTCATTGCGGGTTGATGGTATCTGGGGAAAAATGATGGACAGAATGAGAATTTGATTAAGATCTGGAGATAAAGATTTAAATGAGTGTATATAAGGCCAGGAAACGGGTGGCCATGTTTCTGTGGGTTCTTTCAGCGTTTGATCATACAAATAAATGATTCTAAATTCAAGAGGGCAGGCCTTCCGCCCACAAGGCCACCATGATGTCCTGCAGTTTGGTTAATAATTATTTTAAATCAAAGCAATGTATTTACTCACCAGTGGAGCTGACAGCCACCCTATCTCATGACTTTCCGTCAGTGGCATTGCATACTTCTTGGTGGGTTCTTGGTGAGCTTTGTGGAAGGCATCGATGAAGACCGCTGGGAAAAAAAAAAGTACATAATCAGTATCCAGATGTACACATAGTGATTGAGTTCATATCTTCTTTATCCTGTTTGGAAGAACATGATATTGTTTATCCAGAACACTTTTTGTTTCCTCGTAGTTATCCATGTAGACTTACAGTTCTCTGCAATCACTTCTGTTGGTTTCCTTGACATGGGTTTGTCTGGCAGGACGTGTACTAAATGTAAAAACATGAGATAAAGCCAATCTCCCTTGCAATATACAGGCTTCAGTTATAATTAACAACAGATACGTTGACAACAAGCATAATGGTAACAATTTAGTGCCCAATATGTTTATTCTCATTGAGTAATAGTAGGCCTATAACCATTTTAACGACACTTTGTCATTTCTCATTTTTTAACTAATCTTCATATTTCACATTCAGATCGGAAGTAGGATGTAAATAAACTATTGACTGACATACTTCACTTTTTGTACTTACATGTCCTGTGTGGGTTGATGCTGAACTCCGTGTGGAGTTTCTGGTATCTTTGCTCTTTCCGGATCGTCTCAACGTGAATTGAGTTTTGATGGACTATATCCAGCACCGGTTTCTCCTTTCCTGCCATTGTTTTGAATGTACAACAAATAGCAACTGATACCGAGAGCTGGGAAAACGAGGTTTTCAACGACGTTAAGGAGTTTGGACATGATTTCGTTACCTAGCAACTGTAAACAGAGCCTGGCGCTGCAGTAAACTGAGGCCGCCACGTGGTGGGGCAGCACGTTCAGGTTTGGTCATTGTTGACTTTATATTTCTTTTTACGGCATCATTACTCTCCAACAAATTATTTCGATAGCATTAGTTACTTCACAGATTAAGATTAACAATAACAAATATATCTAATCAATATGTAATGTGAGTTTATTGAAGCTTCTAACCAGTTTACATAGAAATGTAGATTATTCCTACCAGCTGCAATTTTAAAGTAGTAGGCCTACATTATTTGAATTCCAGCTAAAATATACAGATTATTCTGAAATATACTATTGAGTATTTTGCTTTTGGTACTTATATTTGAAGTTCATATTGTTGTAAGATTTGACTCAGGTCAACGGCAGATGTCTATAAACTACACAGCCTCAATTAAATTATTCTCTGTTAACGAGTAAATTATTTGAATACTTCTTCCACCACTGTGAATCAGCTAAAGTGGAAACTAACAAAGCAGTAGAGACAAACTTTTTACACAGAATCTTATAATATACCTTTATGATGTATGAAAATGATTGTAAATGTATTTCTTCAGACTGAGAAAAAAACGTAAGTAAAAAAACAGGAAACAATCCTCACAAAGACAATTTTCCTTTAATTTGTGTATCTAAGTAGGTTTTAATTTAATTGTTTAACTGTACTTCGTATATAAATAGAGAATATAATCAGTGTTGGATCAAGAGTTTACAGTATATAAACGAAACCAACATTTTCCTAAATTTGTGACCAGAACCACGTTATTTCTAGTTTTAGTCTCAGAGCTTTGCAGTCAGAAAAATGTATTCATCTGAAAAAAACAGATTTTCCTTCAAACGACTGCTGATTTGTAGCATGTTGATAGTTGCCTGCAGCTAAACAAACCCATCAAAATGTAGTGGAAGAGCGCTGAATTAATTAATATGTTCTGCGAGAAAATGTAGCCGGACTACAGTGTGGTTTTAGTTTTTTTTTGCTTTCATACTGTATGTTCTCTTAGGATGACAGTTGAGGTAATTTTACTCAGTACACTCACCAGGACTGTCTGCTGTCAGAATATTTGAAAAATGCATATATTTTCCCTGCATGTACACAAGCCTGCTCAAGTGCATTCATGTGTGTGTGCTGGCCTAACAGCTGTGAGCATTTCACACTTACAAGAAACACACTTTTAAGAAAGTATTAAGCTACCCAAGATGACCAGTGACCTTTTGACCGTGCAGTGTGTGTACAAAAGTAGAGTGGCATTTCTTCACATTGTCTTGGACTACACTTGACTTCCCCTGCTCTCAGCGGTGTCACGGATCACACATAAATAACAGTACTTTCCCATCTTGTAAATAGTACTTATGGTTGAGTGGTTGCTGTTGGTCGCGCTGATACACTTTCAAGGCTACAGTTACAACACTGCCTTTTACCACTTGTCTCCTCACATTTAATTTCCCTTTCATTTGGTTTTCCGCTTCTTCTCCTCCTGCAGCCTTTCTTCCCTTACACTATCTCCTCTACTTTTGAGAGTAAATTTGCTCATTTGTTTTTATCTTTGTGTGGTTTTGTGTATTTGCTTCTTCTAACAGTTAGACACTTTAATATAGGTTGAGACATTCAGCTTTCGGTTTCCATCTCATAACCTAAATCAAGCTTTATTTGCCCTATTTGAAAGATATAATAACTAAGTAATAACTGTAAAGCTGGAGGGACTTGAGAGGAAGATTGTGTAATTTCTGTGTGGGTGGGTGGCAAGTCCCCTGTGGTGTTTCTGTACCTATGTGAGGAGGAGTGAGCAATATGTATTACGGGAAGATGGGAGGGCTTGGGGTGTTGAGCTTTGTTCCCCGGCTCCTGTCACAGTGTCGGACCGAGTTATCATCAAGGCAGCTTTACAGTTCCTAAGGGTAGGTGCAGTCAAAGGCCAGTTTGTGAGTTTGTTCAAAATCCAGTGTCAACCACATGCCAGGAAAGGTACTGTACGTGGTGTGTGAGTTGATCCAATGAGACCAACTTTCCACTAACTATTTATCAATCCCCCCTTCAGACACATACTTACAGAAATTAGGAGACATTTGTACAACAAGAAATGTTTGTTTGCAGCAGGGAACTATTCTCCATCATCCCCTGAGTGGGAGAATTTTGTTAGCTTATAATGTGGCTGAGAAAATCATAATGACTGTCTTGTGTGAGGGGAAGTGTTGTGAAAGCATTATCCTGTATCCTGTCTTGAGGATTTGACTAAGTGACATGCCACTTGTTTTGTTGTCGCTAGTTTGACCACAGAATCATTTGTGTTCACTCTTGTCACTTACACTAAATATGGAAAACAAACAGTGGTGTAAAACATACAATTTCAACACTATCCCTATATGAGATTCAATTCCGAGGCCTCCGAGGTCTCCCATCGAAATACTGGACCCTGCTGAGATTTATGCTGGTAAAACGCCGCTAACGGCTCTCTACACTCTTGGCTATGGATTAAATAACAATCTTTGTTTTAATTCAAGTTATTCTTAAATCCACTTAAGGACAATTCAGGGATTTTGCGTCAGTGTCATCGGCGTAAAGGGCCTAGTAATTTCGAAATGTACCCTTGTCTATATCTTTCACACCTTTGTGGTACCTTTTAACTCTGATTGGATATTTTGGTTTTGTCGAGCCAGCTAAGTCAAACAAACTCTGGCTGATCTTACTTCGTAGTATTCCACAACTTAAGCCTATGTGGTTGATTTATTTGCTGTTAATAAAAGTACTCAAATAATAACCAAGAGATTTACCCCATTACCACTGGTGTCATTTTGTTAATATATTTCATGTAAACACGATGGCATTATTTGAAATGAGAGGGGTTTGAAGGGGGTTGGAATATTTTCTCACATTCAATTACCAAAGAGCGAAGGCAACTGTAATGAGATAATGTTATAGAAATATTATTTGATCCCACTATCAAAGCCATTATCCACATATCTCACATTCACACTCCATAACGAAGAGGAAGATCTCTTCAGAAATACACAAAGAATGACAAATCAGTATGAGCATGAGTGCCTTTACATACATGTACCCATCACATATCCCTTGCTTTCCTTTAAGATATGTACCAGCACCAGCCTCTGACCATTCCTAACATGCTTGTATTTTAATTACCAAGTGCCCTCTTTTGCCTGCTAATTAAAGCACTATCTCATGTATTATTCAGCCATTTTCTCCACCATTACTATAACATAAAACAAGAGGTGCATACTTTCCCCCCGTCACCCTCCATCTAATCCACTCCAACATGTGTATGATGGCTAATGAAAGCCACTGATATTTTTCAAAGATGTGGAAATGTATGCTGAGTATCCCTCTGTAGTTTTTTTCCCTTATTTTCTGGAAGCTGCTGACCTT